CGAAGTTAGTTCAATACCGAGACCTGCGTCCGAAGGATCCTCGGGCACCGATCACATCTCTTCAGCGCTCACTTTGGGATCATCGGCACTAACGGCAACGCATCCATCCCCAATCCCAGGATACGTCATAATGGCGAATCCCAGCATGTACTATCCAACATCGATGCCAGAGAAAATGCCATCCTTCGACTCTTACTCAACCTCGTTACCAATCGACCCTACCTCTTTCGCATCATGGGGCCCGAGCTCGAATGGTTACAGCAAAGGGCTGGAGAACTCGGATACCAATTGGACTCGGAACGAAGCTTATCCACTTCACAATCCCCTCCTGAATCAAACGCCAACCCAATCCCAATACCTCCCCCTTCCTCATATGCCAATCCCCACGTTACCATATCCTCCAATCACAACGGATCCTCGGACTCAGAACCTCCCCACGGAATCCATCGTGTACCAACTCCCATGCCTGGAACTCGCTCCAATAACCCATCTCCCCCACAATCCACCTCTTCCAATTCCACCCCTGAATCTAACGCCTCTTCCACCCTTCCGAACCTCCCTGGACTGTTCCACGACTGGCTCACAAACCCAGCTACCCATGCCCAGGCTAGCGCAGCCATCGACGCCTGTGGAAACGAGAGAGTCCAACGTTTTGCTCACAAATACATCGAGGTTACAGAGGCAATTAGAGAACGAAGAAAGGAATTGGGACGATTGGAGATGGAGGAAGCCAGATGCGAACGAAGCTTGGGAGCTCTCGACTGGGATCGACGGAGCATTGCAGGTACCCTTATCGGTTTACGCGCAGAATCTGTCATCTTCCCCCACGTCTTTCCTACAGTCGGACTATCAGCTTCTGGAACAGCATCTCGACCAAGCCCATCCGGTACCTTCCCCAACCAATCAGCGAACCCTATCACCGAAACTCCTAGCTCCCATCACACGCACTCCTCAGACTCTCACCCCTCCGGAAGAAGTGGCGTCCCTATCCGCATCTTCCAAGCTCCCTTTAGCCGAGAACTCACTCCCTCGCCACCTGACGGATCTTCCGGTTACGCCTATCCAAGCGGAATGGGAAGCAGCCTTCAAGTTCCTCGAAACGGACACCTTCCTGGGCGAGACTCCCCGGATGCTTCCGACTACCATGCAGACCGCTCCCAGACTACATCGATTCAAGCAGTCCGCGGTTCCACGACGAGACGCCCAGAGTCTTCCATACAGCGTCGAGGCAACCATGGGATTAGATGCTGGGAGTGCGGAGATCTCGGGCATACTAGGAGAGATTGTCACAATATGCGCAGGAGGAGAGCAGGACTCCCAAACGGAAGAGAAGGAGACGCCATTCTCGATGGAATGATCGATGACATTCTCCAGAACGCCCACTGACATTTTCTCTCAGGACCCACATCATTTCCGTGTCTCCTTTCCCATATGATCTAATTATGTCCCCTTGACCCACATCCTCTCCGATTCAGTGACTCGATCGCTTACTATTTCTTGAACAGACATTTTATTTATCGAACCAAGTCCCTTTTCCTTATATATATGCGTCCCCAGATCGTTCCCCTTTCCCTCAGTCTCCTACTCCTCTTCACCCTGATTCCAGTCGTCCTCACCCCACCATGCCCGCTCAACGACGCACTTCCTTTCGCTGCGATTGCACTTGGAGAACGTTCCCCCACTCCAAGCCCCGCCACTGCGACCAGGATGCCGCCCGACGAGTCGGACGACAACCAGACCTCAGCCATCTCACTACTACACATGAATATCCCCGTCGCCGTTGCATCGACTGCGGCGAACCCTTCATCACCTCCCATCGCCGCTCCCTCGAATGTCCCCAATGCGGCGTCACAGTCGCCAAAACCAGCAAATCCGCCTCCGCCACTTATGACCGCGACGAACATGTTTTTGTAGGAACACACGAGCAGTGGAAGGAGTGGAAGGCGGAGCAGGAGTTATGCACGGTGTGCCACGCAGAGCAGTGGGAGAGTGCGCAGACGGAGATGTGTGGAGGATGTTGGAAAAAGAAGTTGGAGGAGATGAAATCGATAGAGTGGTTGAGGAAACAGGCGGAGTATAGGGAGGACACGGAGGATTTTGGGCGATGGAAGCAGGAGATTTTCTGGTGCATGTCGCAGAGGCGCCCCCTTCTTGACGAACTCCTATGCCGTATGGAATTCGACGCCCCCATCCTTCACCCCGTCGTCCACCCTAATCCCCACCGCAATGCCTATCTCGCATGGGTCAACGCCGACGAAGCCTATCAACCGCAGGAACACCCACTCCAGCCCATGGCCTATCTCCACCAGCATCCCCTCACCAACAACCGTTCCCCATCTCCACCTACCTTTCCCACTTCCATGGCCCGCGAATTCAATTCTCCGTACAAGAGTCTCGAGGCGCGACTGACGTAGAAGGGGGGTAATGTTATGGACTATATTTTTCGTCTTCTTGTATGCTCGACAGGTCTGATACCGCAGGAGACGCGGATGTGCAGTCTCAGTTCCTTTTTATTTAACTACATACACATCATCCACTCATATGGCCGGTTGAAGAACATTCCATGGACCTGTAGCCGTGTCTCGACTCCTCTCGTATTCTCGACTACGGACTACCTTGTTTCTCATAGCCTTGGACTGTGCTTCATAGCCTTGCATAGGCTTTGTACTATATTTATTGGGTACAGGTTTCCGCACCGACTACGGACTGGGGCACAGTACGAGCACGACTCAGTCTGACTTACTTATAGGTTTCATAGCCTCCTGCGGCTGCGCATGTATGTACTATATAAGGACGACCCTAGTAGAGGGGAGTTCTTTAACCTATTCATCTCTGATTTACCTCGTCTATCTACTCGTACTTGAACTAGTCCTTTCAGCAGGACTAGCTTCCCTTATCAACATCAAGACCCTTTGTCTGTGTAGAATCG